ACTTTTCCTCGGTTCGATCCAGCCAGTCAGCCAGTCACACTAAAGATTATTCGACCAATGAATGTAGACAATAAAAGTCTTGAGACAAAAAAGACATTAAAACCTTTATGGATACGCGTGCTAGTTACATATTCATACAAGAGTCGTTAGCTAATTATAATAACAGAATTAGCTGGCGTAATTGCTTGCAGCTAGGAAATTGCTGGCAGTTTATTCAGTTACATTGTTCGCTAGTTCTCCATATATCCCAATACCGTTTTTGCTGTATCAGAAAATTCGATTAACGTTTATGATAAAAAAGTCGGTCGAACAATTTTTCGTTGAATATCAATTTTAAATTGCTGGCTAGTAGCTAGAGCATTCTGACCTGATGATTGATACGTGCTTACTTTACCTAAAGTTCAGGTTGATTATTAGCCAAAAAATATAAAAAAGTTTAATTCTTTTTATATTCTGTGGATTATTAATTAAAGAGTTAACGTTACTGAGTCAACATTATTATTCAATTATTTTATCCCCTTACCCTGAAATCGCATAAAAATATCATCAGAAAGAGTCTTGTGTTATGTTTAAATATTCTGTGGCAAGATTGCAGAAAGAGATTCCAAATAGAATATGCAGTTACCTATGTACCTTTGTTTTATTGTACTATTTCTATATACTACACTAGTGGCTCGCTAAGTCTTCGCACTATGCTGATACTAAACTATGACATTATAAATATAAACCATCCTCTTTAATCAGTTTTCTCAAATCGACATATTAAAAACCGCATCAAAATCCATTGTGTAGGTTTGAACATTTAACCAAACATGGGGATATAGAGACAGAGAAATAATATAATATTTATTTATTGCCATAAAACACAGTATAACAAGTTTTTAATATATAAGAATAAAATATAAAGTTTTTAATATAAGAATAAAGAATAAAAAATAATATAATATAAAATTCTATTTTATAAAATATATTTTATATTTTATAAAATTCTATTTTTTAAAATATATTTTATATTTTATTAAAGGCCAGTTAATTATAAAGCATGCAAAATTAAACAATACAAGATAGCGGGCAGATCATTGTCGATAACGAAAATTCAGTTTTCTTTTAGCGAATTTGTTTTATACTTTATAATGATGTGTTATACAAGAGAAGATAGTACCTATACGGAAAATCTTAGTCTTTTCATTTATTTCATGGACTACTTTTAGCAGACCAAACTCCATTCAAAGCAGTAACATTTGGAACATTCCAACAAAAGGCAATTAAAGTCCTAAATAAATCACTCTCAGCTAATATGAAACCAATACCATAACCTTGGATTTAACTCTGGAACATCAACATAAAATTGTACTAAAAGACCTCTTTTGAGGTCTTAAGTACGGCATGGAGCCCAGTGGTGTCGTATCACCTGACAATTCGAAGTATAATGGTTCATTAAAGCTTGGAACTGGAGTGCGTATCCTCGTCAGGGAGGACAAACTTTATGAGAACATTAGTGTCATTTCCCTGCTCGTTACGCACTTTTAAAAGCATTCCAGAGCTGTAGTTTGGTTCTTTTGTTTTAGGAGCTGATTCTTTAAGTGTGGCTTGATAAGTTAGTAATATAGAGAATAATTTTTCAGTGCTTGTTAGTATAGAAAGGGTCAGATCACGCTGAGATGCGGCGCATTTGGCTTCAAATTCAACTCTAGCATCTCGCGACAAGCGTACACATGTTACTTGGTGGGCAGTAGATACTTTCTATTGCTTTTTCAAAATATAGCTGCAATGAATTTTATTAAGCTAGCTTGTACCCGCGAGTTCGTTCGTGTAGAACAGGAACTTTCTGCAGATTTTTGGTATAAAAACTATCCTATGTCCTTTCTGGAGTTCCAAACTATGTAAGTACCAAATATAACAGAAATCGGGTCAGTAGTTTAGGCGTGAAGAAAAGACAGAGTTACTTTCGCATTTATAATATTAATATAATATATATGTAGTTTGGATAATAAAAAAAATATACTATACTATGTTCAATAGCTCAAAATCACAAAGAAACAAAATAAAATCGCATCTACTATTTGAATATATTCACTGTCTCAGTACACGACCAACAATAGCTTTGAGATCCAAATGCATCTGTTCAGTGAATTTTCACTTTACCTAATTATTATTATTTTTACGTTCTATGAAGCAAAACAACTATTTTTTTAATTATTTTCAAAATAATTTTTTATATCACTATCAGAATAAGTCTGAAAATGGTAATTTATTAAAGTGATTCAGTCATTTGCATACTGCTCTGGGCGATAAAAGGTCAAAAATGAGCATGAGTGGGTTGGTTCTTATTTTTTTACTCTTGGTTGCATTTCTATTATGTAGGTACTCTTTTACGTAAATGAATATTTCTTATAAGTTCTATTGCACCTAATGTTTTGGTAATATAATTAATTGTACAGTAATCTATCGCGTTTTGGTCCAGAGCTAGATAGGGAATGGCGTGGTTTTTGGATAGTAAGAGACTGACGCCCGGTTTCTGAAAGGCTTGTCAACGCTAAAATTAACTAATCTCCTGTTAAATCTCTTGTCAATTCATCTCATTGGTTGTTGATAATTCAGTCAACCAAAAAGATGACTTGACAAGAGATTAAATCGATTTTAACATTGATCAGCCTTTCGGAAACCGGGTGTAACACTTCTAACCTTCTCAAAAATTAAGGACCAACCCAACCTCATAAAAGTTCCTGATAAATGTATGTCACAGATTTCCTACAAATAACATTCAAAAAAAAAATCCCAAGTCTAATTTTGTGAAGTGCTTTATTCGCATAAAAGTTATTATTTGATATAGGAAACAAGCTTAGAAGAAAAAAATAATAAGTTTCACGATGTTTTATTCAGGAAATAAGTTAAGCAAAACATTTTGCAAACAAACTTTTTTAAATATAAATTTGGAAAATAAAACACTAAGAGTGTTATTATTGTCCAAAATATATCTAAAGATTACACTACCCAAATCTGTATCTATTATAGAAAATCATAAATAAACGAAACCTTTACTCAAAGTTTGCTCTTGACAGATTTCCATTAACGAAATTAATTACATCTAATTTAAAAATATATTCCAGAATTAACATTTTCCTGCTGCAAGACTTACTACGAAACTTGATCCTTGATTAGAATATTTTCGATAGAACAGATTTATATTTTCACACCATCTCCTCGCTTGTATTTTAAATTGCCACTGTCTTCCCCTAAGGTGGCGTTCCCCCATCCAAGCCTCATTACACAGCTCCAACTGGGCGCATTCACGCCTTTGAGTAATTAATACCAATTTCTGTCTCATAAACACTACTAGCTTCACGGAAAATCGGTTTCACAAAAACATGTTGTTTATGTGTTTTAGTGGATATTTTTCATTTTATATGAATGTGTGTGTGTGTGTTATGTACTAAACAAATAAATGATTTGCTTAAAAGAGTATAAACAAGGAGTTTATTTCAGAAGAATTATATCAGTTACGTTTATTTAATAAATTGTTGTAGAGGAATTATTTGATTGTTTGGGTTGAATTGGCGCAATTTTTATGATAATTAAAAAAATATTGTATTATTTTAAATTCAAGCGCATAACGATTATGAAATATATTTGAATTATATTTTTTTTGTTTTTAAAGCATGTCAATATAGTTTAAAGTTGGTACATCGTTAATAGCATTTTTTTTATAAAAATGTTTACAATTTTATACATAAAATATTTTACAAATAATAAAGAAGAAAATAACAGTCAATGTATTGTTTTTTCATTTTTTTTTATTTATGTATAATATTCTCGACTGAAAATGATATCTCTAGAAAATTTTCAATTACAAGCTGTATAAAATCTCTATGGCTGTGCAGTTGAAATTATGGTATTCACAAATTACTCCCCCAGGTCTCATTACTGACGCGCACCATCGTCTTTGTATAATTAACACAAAGACATAGCTGCAAGGCGCTCACGTATTGTCTACCATTAAAACGTGTAATTCCAAGTATTTTATTTTTCTCCCGTTTCCTACTAACGCTTTTCATTATAAAACAGAAATAATTATTTTTAATTACTATGTAAGTAGGTAATATTTTTATTTTTGTAAAAGGCTCTATTATTTCTAGTTTTGAAAATCAGACGTTTAAATCATCTTGTTTTTATTTTATGACCAATTTAAAATGTATATGTCACAGTCAATATTTATTTATTTATTTAGGTCGGCAGTTAATGACTGACTTCCGGTTTCCGAAAGGCAGATCAATGTTAAAATCAATTTAATCTCTTGTCAAGTCATCTGATTGGTTGACTGAATTATCAACAACCAATCAGATGACTTGACAAGAGATTTAACAGGAGATTAGTTAATTTTAGCGTTGACAAGCCTTTCAGAAACCGGGTGTTAATTTATGTAAATACGAAATAGATCCATTCACATTGACGACAAAGAAACAAGAAAAAAAACAACATTCATTAGTTTATCTCACAGTACCTCATGCACTCGAATAATGGAGAGATTTCCTTTAATCCATCTGCATCAAATCAATTTCAGCAGTGGCAGGAATCAAGCTGCTGATGATATAAACTTAAGCTACCATAAGGCTAGATTCTCCTTTTTACAGCTACATCGTCAAAACCTATATTAATGTCTCGAAATTGTTCACCGTCCCTCACAAACGTCCTTCAATAAAAAATAAGCAAAACATCAAAGTACTACAACTGCACCACTATTCAACTACACGTTACAAAGCATATATTTTAATTGCAAACCACAGTTTTATTTTTATTATCTGAAGCAACAAGTACCTTAGTATTCCTTGCTACAGTTCTCTGGTTCATTAAAACCAGCTTTGTCTGAATAAATTAACACAAAAGGCTATCTCTGTAATTAGGTATCGCATTGTGTTCAATTGTTTTTTTTTTATCTTGGTAATATTTGTAATGCTTGTGAGTATTTTTTTTATTAATTGGTTATGTAATTATTTTTACAGTGTCTTCATTGCTATGATGTGCCAGGTAAATTTGAATAAAGAACTTCATTTAAAGTTTATCGGGAACGTATACGAACGTCATCACATCGGTGCTTATGCTTATATTGAAAATATCAGTATTAATTACACAATAGAGTAAACATTATTATCAAATAAAGTGGCCAATGACCTAACCGGTCTCCTTTCTACTTGTAACCGACGCTGCCACTTTCACGGCCGAAGGAACTGTAACTGCAATGCTGGCCATTAGTGAGTTTGAGAGTAAGGATTCGGAGAACTGGAAATTTGGTGGAGTTTGAGCCTTGAGAAACCTCATTAGTTTCTTTTAATTCTATGTGTTTTATATATCATCATCTGAAAATATTTACGATAACACATCCTTTATTTTATTAAATACCTCTTCAAACTAATCTATGAGGTTGGGGAAAAATTGGTATCGAATTATAATATGTATGAATTTGTAATAAAATCTCTTTGGCTATTATACTATTTTCATCTGGCTGGTTTATATATATATATATGTAAGTATAAATAAAAAAATATTCTAAATTCAAATGAGGAAAATGTTTGATTTTCATTTGTTTTTCTTCTTAAATGTTATCAAAATGCGAAAATCATTTTTCTCATACATATTATGAAATATAAAGTCAACAAGTATTAACGGAGCAAAATTCAAAATCCACTTCAATATTTTTTCTCCAAGATCATTAAACCCAAGTAATGTGGCCATTCTAATACATAAGTATAATGATATAATCGATAATCATTATCTTGTCATTCGCCTGTCCTCATTATGCCTCAGTATATAATCGTTTGAGTAATTAATACAAAGGCATAGCCGTGCTCCATCGTATTGTCTATCATTAGCGTTTACTGCGTTTAAATTATGAACGTGACCGCCTCAAAGGAGACCTTTGCGAATGTGTGAATTAGATTCTGAATATTTTAATATACTACAGTACTGTCTTGGATAATGTTGTTTGTTGTTCATTGTGCTTTAATTAGTGGTGACTTTGTAGATTGTTTAAGTAGATTTAAGTACGTTTATTTTTTTGTAGTTAAATCTATCTTTGTATTAATATTATAATTGTTTTTTTTTTTTGCTTGCTGTAAACTAGTGCTTGACTGCGATCCCACCTGATGGTAAGCAGTGATGCAATCATTGATGGTAAGGCGCACTAGTTTATTAAGAGTCTATTCACTCTAGCCTTGAAGACACCTAAATTATATTTGGACGGAAAGACTGCAGCCGGCAAACTGTTCCAATTTCTCGATGTACGCGGTATAAATAGTTAGCGAGCTTATGCGTAAGCTTATTGGTTAGTTTGATCGCTATAATCACAGGAATTACTAGTACGAATTTAACACTTTTTGTTTTGGATGATAGTCCTTTTATTTAGGAAAGGTATTTTAAACTAAAAACATAATGCTACGAACAATTAAAGCCGAGCAGAGGGAGAAACTGCGTGAGAAAAGCTTTATAAAATATCTTTCTTATCTTTATCAATTTCTATATCAATTGAATATATTTAATATATATTTGTTATATATTTGATTGATGATGCATTTGATTGATATAAATATATAATATTCGATATCAATGAAATATCTTTCTAATCTTTCTTATATTACTTTCTTAGCTTTATAAAAATATTATTGTATTTTACACATGCAAAATAAATTCTAACCAGATGTAAAAATTCCTTTCCATTAAAATACTTACCAAAATTCATCAACTTCCAAACACTTTCTTTGACGACGCTACAAATCCGAACTGAATACCGCCAATAGACTTGCATCTTAGCAATATACAGGGTGTATTCATCTTTTGTGTACCGAATGGATACAGGGTGTGCAAAGTAAGTGGGGTAGCAACGTAGCGAATATTTTGCACTCGTTTCCGTGCAGGGGATGGTGATTCATCAATTGTACAAAGTGCCACTTCATATTCGGTCCGTTTCACTGTCGCTTTGCGCCTCCGAAATGTACGCTGATTGGATCATGTGATTTTTTTCCATTTTAAAACGATTAATTTTGTCGTTTCGACGAGTGTTTTGAATGAGTAGCTATTAACTTGGAGTGGGATGTTTTATTATCATGTACGATCAGTGATATTGAAGTTTATTGGTTTTGGTAAAAAAATGTGTGGATTGATTAATTATGTACTTATCGATTTTTAATCGATTTTATTATTTGCCAATTTTGATTTAACGAAATACTTAAATAAAATTTACAACTTACCAGGGACTATTTTTTGGGAATAAAGATATACTGTTTGAACGTATTTAGACTTCTTACAAACTTTTTTTTTCAAACCCTCCATATCCTCCCACAATCACTAATCTCATCACATCTCTTGATTAAATAAGAGATTATTAAAATGAAAATTAAAGAAAAAAACGTTATATTCAAAATCAACATACCTACACCAAAGTATCAAAACCAATCATCTCACACTATACTACGACTTTTTTAATATCGCTGATACGAAACGCTAAAGTATCAAAACCTTCGCCTCGCACTATACCAACACTTCTTTTCGGCTAAGCAAATAGAGTTAGTTGGATAATTTGACGCGACATCCCCCGGGAACCGAACCTGCATCTGTTAGAGGGTAGCACAGTCCCGTGTACCGTGCAATCGTCCGTAATGCACTTCGAATTAGAATAATATGATTTTAGTTTCTTTGCGACGCGTTTGAAATTTTCATGAGGGTAGAGTAGTTTTTTATGTCTATGTTATTTTAACGAATTTTCTTTTATACAATTTCTGAGTTTCTTTTTTAAGATATCTTAAAAAAGAAAAGAAGGTATAACCATTATTTGCATGCCACTCCATGCATGAACATAACAACTACAACAAAATAATAATAAGTACATTAATATGGAAAGCGAAGGCATCTATGGCATTTTTTTTCTTTTTAAAAAAAAACGTTGCCCCACACTAAGATTTTCTCCTGTGTTGTGGGTGCGGTTACAAACACAATTCCAAGTGCACATGACACCCAGACCCGGAACAACAATTTGTGGATCACACAAAGCGTTATTTCGTACGGGAATCGAACCCGCGACACGTTGCACGGCAGTCAGTTGCCCGGCCACCGCACCAACCGTGCAGTCTAAAGTAACTGCAATTTTTTTCTATTGAAACAATATTTTGTTCTTCCTTAAACTTGACCGTCTATTGCTATTTCTTCGACGATTTAGAGACTTTTAATGCATTTTTATGGAAAGCCATGCCTCCGCATTAACGGACTGTACGTTCGACGTAGTGGTTGGGCAGTTGGCTGTTGTGCAACGTACATAATTATGTATCGCGGTTTCGATTCCCGTACGAAACAACAATTTGTGTGATCCAGAAATTATTGTTCCGAGTCTGGGTAGTTTGTGTATGTGAATTTGTATGTTTGTAAGACGCACCCACGACACAGGAGAAAATCCTACTGTTGGGCAACGTTTGTTTCGTTGTGCGAGTGAGGTTATCAGAAGCCCAACGTTCCCAATTTGCCTATCACATATTTTCACATTCTTAATACTCAAATACCTTATCGGGGATAAGGGATCCCCAAAAGTATCGACAAACAAGCTTCTAATAAACAAAACCCGCCAATTCTAAAAACTCTTGCTTGTGGTCTCATCAAAAAAAAAAAACAATAAAACAAAACCAATATTTTTTATGAAACTTACTTATTACCCATATGATTTAAGGAAGGTCGCATCATCGTCATCATAATTATGATAGCCACCAAGCATGGTATATGGAACAGGCAATTCTGCTCTCTTCAGCTACTGTTCAAATACACTCAAACAGTCTCTCATAAACATATATATTGTTTCAGGTCTAGACGCCGAACTCTACTACGTGAGAGAAGGCGTAGTTAATAAATACGCGACCGGCTTCACAGTGCCCGTACCGGCGCACATTGCAGACTTGGAGTTCATGTGGCAAGCGTTAGGCGGGAGACCGGTAAGATATACAAGATAAAGATGATATTATTACAGAATAAACACGCTGATTTGTATCTAGTGTTTAGTAAGGTAGAGATTAAAATTGTAGTTGAAGTGTTAGATTTGAAGATTAGCATCGATAATTTGTTTTAAATTAGAAATTGTAAATTATTGCCACTATTATACTTATTTATAACCTGATGGGTAGTTTATTGATGAAAAGACTAAGAAAGAAATATTACTTTTTTTAAACAAAATTTTAGGATTTATGTACCTACTCCTTAGTAGGAGAACGGCATTTTAGTTTTATAGCCGTTAGATCAAAATTGGGGTATCAGCCGACCATGGGACGTGATCATGCTTGGCGGGCTATTGTCCAGCGTATGTACGTTAGAATTTTCTATGCATGTTAGTCTACTCGATAACTTTTGCTCGCGTGATATCAGATCTGTGCCGTCATCAATCGATTGAGTGCATCGTCAGAAAAGTATAAAAAATAATACTCCTACAGCATAACAGATAACTAGTAAATACAACAAACAAAAAGTTTAAAACACTATTAACATCACAATCAACAATTCGATTCGTTTCTCTTTCACATTCAATAAAACCTATTTGATTAAAATGTTTACAATAAATTGATTAATCGTTTTAATTACATTTTATTCTTCAGCACAAGAGCGTGGACGGGGAATAATTTTATTTTCAAACTTGTTTATTAAATTTTGTATTCCATTGAGCAAACGTTTCGTTCGATATTGAGCGTGGAGCATTCAGTATTTTCCAATTTGGTTTGAAAGCGATTTAATTTTCGAAAACAAAGGGACCCGGATTAAGTCGTCATTTTTCGCTGTTCACAGTGTTTTGCGGATAAGAGTAGAATGGTACGCTTTCTATGTAGGTACAGAAGTGCAGTAAACATTATAGTTTTAATGAAGTCCTTTGTTCGTCTTAGAAGAAAATTCTAAAGATTCTCGCTTGTTTTGGTGAAAGGATTTTTTGGTTATAATTTTTAATTAGTATTGGTGTTAAGGTCTAGAATAGCATTACTCTATGTTACAAAGCTCAATTTGGTAAATATATACTGCATTTATTATAGAACCATAATTCCAAAAACATAGGAAGGAAAGGTACTTGGCGCCATAGTAAGCCTTTTATTGAGCTCAAAAATACTTATACATATATATCCAACGATGTAACACACATAGTTATTGGAATGTGGGACCGAAATTTGCCTCCTCCTTTAGGAGCATCAGCAGTATCTATCTTATTTTCTTTATTGATAAAAAATTAGAGTATTTTCTTCACATGAAAAACATCTTACCTATACAAACTATTTGAAAATTTTCCAAGTGTCTTCAGCACGTTTCATTATTAATGCGTCACGTACGTTAAACAGACAATATATACTCTAACTTATTATTAATACACATTAAAATCGATTGGTGTCGATAGCTAGAGGTCACATGGCTGCACTGACTCATCGCAAATAAAAGGCACAAATGAGAACAAATTGCTTTCAACCTTATTGAGATAAGACGAAGGTTAAAATTCCAGTATTTTTGCTGAAATACTGAACAATATTACGAGGTTAGAGACAGAATACAAATATATAATAGGATATCAATTTAGTTTTATTGTTAGAACAGCTTAAGTGATTGTTTCTTAAGCTAGGTTTCAGACATAATTGATTTTGTATCTAAGACTTATTCTTACTTAAGTAAATTTACTATCTATGAGTTATTTGAGTCAATTATAATAGTCATAGAGTAGTCATTAATTTATTTGTATAATTGAATTAAATGGTTGATTATGACTGCAAGGCATTTTAGACTTACCTGTAAGTAACAAATTGTAACAAATTTAATTAATGAAAAATGCTGTTGCTCTTCTGATAGGCCTTTTTTTTACAAAACCTTAAATACATATAATTTTTGTTTGAATGCTAATGATAGAAATTTTAATTTTGATATACATAGTCTACTAAACATTAAATTGTCAGTTATGTAAGAAAAACAAAAACACATTTCTTCTTAAAGCTTATCTCTTCTGATGATGTCACTGGTGTTAATGGGAGACACTAATCGTTTACCGTAAAGGAATCCGTTGTCTCATCAGCCATCTACGGAGCAAAAACTCATTTAATAGATTTTACACCCTATTGCATTGAATTTAAGGTAATTTTAAACAAAACCTTTTTTTAAAGAACTACCTATCTTACTCTCCCTACGTACCTAACTGCTAGGTATATCTGGCTGTGTGTCACGTAATATTTATGGTGTCATTTTTCCGTAGCTACCGTACGTGATGGGTATAGACTACGAGAGCCGAGGCGCCATGTTGCCGCCGCAAGTCAATATATCTGAACGAGGGTTTGTGCCTACCACCCTGCAGACTTTTAGGTAAGTTCTTAAATTGATTTTAGTTTCTAGAAATTATTTTATGTATTATTAGGTATAATAATTTTAGCATAAATATGATCGGCTATATATGTCTTGGTATGGCCATGTGAAAAGGAGGGATGAAAAGCATGTTACAAAAAAAACCATGAGTATAAATGTGGATGGATGGAGAGGGAGAGGGAGACCAAAGAAAATATGGATGGATTGTGTGAGAAGTGATATGGAAGACCTCTGTCTTCCATATCACTAGCGCGTAGAGTTAGCGATAGCGTGACGAGTGACAGGACAGAATGGAAGAAAAAACATATTGCACCGACCCCAAATAAAATGGGACAAGGGCAGGAAGATGATGATGATGATGATCGGCTATATAAGAAATCAAAAAAAAATACGAATGAACCTTTAATAATTGGAAATGATATTCTCAGATGAAAAAGTAAAGATAAGTAAATCCTTTATGCGCCAGACATGTTACATATAACTTTAAAATAGGAAATTACTATATGAAGATTAGTATTGACCTATTTCCTTACAAGGACATTTATGTACTTGATAGCTTAGTGCTTATTTTCCAAAGCACTTAAATAATTAGTTTTCGAAAATTAAACTAGATGGCGACGGCGCTTCACACAAATCATGCAGAATTTCCGCTTACCTTAGATAATATGTAAAAATAGCTAATCTAAAACAATATTTTTTATATGAAGTCTCAAGAAATTAAGAATTTTAATCAAAACTATTTTATAACTGAATTGAAATGATCAGGCTCGAATGATCAGATCGAATCTGAATCATAAGAAATTTTGACATAAATATGTAATTTTAGTTTTGCCAAAAACCTTGAATTCACCTTCAATAAATTCTGAAAGATATATCTAAAACCTAACTTAGAGATGCTGATTCATACTCATTACAAATTATAATAAGAATGAGTCAATGTAAATTATGGAACTTTATTGATATTACGGTCGAAGGGCTCCATTCATTGAATCAATGGCTTATGAGTCAACCTACAAAGTTATTGAAGTGGACCAAAATGTGCTGGCAACTGGCAAAAAATAGCTACTTTTAATTTTTTTGCTTTACTTAAAACATTTTTAAGATTCTCATTTTTATTAAATTTTTAAAAAACAAAAGTTTATTTTTGTGTTTTTTTTTATGTAATATCTCGGCAAACGAGCAGACGGATTACCTGATGGTAAGCAATCAGCGCCGCCCATGGACACTCGCAACGGAGGAGCGTTGCCGACCTTTTAGGGATTAGGGATTGAGCAGGGATTGGGGAAGGGGAAGGATTGGGCCTCCGGTTACCTCACTCACACGGCGAAACACAACGCAGTGGTTATTTCACGCCGGTTTTCTGTGAGGCCGTGGTATCACTCCGGTCGAGCCGACCCATTCGTGCCGAAGCATGGCTCTCCCACACTTAAAATGTGTGCATGTTATAAACACTATCTATCATTGCTAGAAAAAAAAACAAAATATTTCGCTGCTAAAAATAAATCTTGTGATCGTTCGACCAATAAAGCAGTGTTTTGCAATAGTTTTTAGAATACTATTAGTTTTTAGAATAGTAATAACTATATTGTTCAAATAAAATATAATTATGAATAAATGTAAAATAATTTCTTAATTCCCAGGGTTCGTTTGCCGTGCTCTGGTACCAGGAGCGCAGAGATCCTTGTGACTATGCAACTCAACATCTCGGCGCCTGATCGAGCGCATAAAGACGTGCGATTGGTATTCAAAAGGAACAAGATTTGTTTAAAAGGTAAAATAAGTTTGATTATAATTAGTATTATTAATACACTTGGCAGAGACCGGACATCAGACTCCTCTAACAAATCCTATCTTTTTAAACAAAAATTAGGATAAACTCCGATAATGTAGAAGAGGTCACTATGGGAAGGCGTAAACGAACGATTGTAAATTTGGATTATTGACCAATCTTAAAATATAGATCACAAATAGAAACATACGATATTAATTAATTATAATTATTAAATGGCGAACGCGCCTAACTGTTTAACGAGATAGTTGGAACAGTTTCAAGCAACACTAGGGGCTCATGTTCATGAGGAGCATTGCGCGACAAGCGACACGACGAACGTCAAAGTCAAAGTCAAAATCATTTATTCCAACTAAACCATAAATAGGTACTTTTGAAACGTTGCTCATAATTCTAAGAATAGCGTATAGTTTGAGGCTTGCCACAAAAATAAAGTAAATATTTGATATCTACCAAACTACATATAAGTACATCAAATAAAAATGGTTACAAGACTCCGCCATTGTCTTTCTTAATACTTAAGAAACAAAAATCAAGGAATACTCCAGAAACTATTCTTATTTTCTTTTATCACCAAATCCTGTGAAGAACCCTAAATAAAATACTTGAAGTGTTAGCTTAGACACGATATACTTTCAAGTTTAGTTACAAAAGTATTGTCTTAGAGAACACTTGGAGCTTCAAAAATATACGTGACCTACTAGTACAGGGGAAGTTACTTTACACATAATATAAAGTATCATACTTTTGTCTCTCGTGTCTAAGGTTACACGGATAAAACTATGTATATGTAGGGAACATCTACAACCAACTACAGACAAAGTTCGTTACAATGTCAGTTCTGCAATGAAATGCATGTCTTATAAAAACGTATTAAAGAAACAATAAAAAAATCTATTCCAAATACGAACATGAAGCTCTTGATAAACGTGCCAAACTTTTTCCCCCTTCTCATACAAATCATTTTATAACTGCAATAACTATTGAGCCAACTATGACGGGTGCAAAGTTTCACGTTATTCACCGCAATAATAATAACAATAAATTATTTGAACACTTTATTCGAAGGGCTATAATAATGCACCAATAAACAGATTTGTAGTCTTCTCTTAAAGACGGAAGTTTTATGATAATGATAGTCATGCTTTCAAAGGAGTATTATGACGATTTCGTGAGTTTTTCGATATACAATAAAGTCTATTATTCAATAAAAGAACATAGTCTTTAACTAATGTTTTGCATGCAAATCGATAATACTTTTACTTTATTATGGACCTTGTAACATTGTGTTTTTTATGTAATAGACCGGCAAACGAGCACACGGATTACCTGATGGCAAGCAATCAGCGCCGCCCATGGACACCCGCAACGGAGGAGTTACGAATGTTGGGTTTTGGAGATTAAGGGATTAGGGAGGGATCGGGGGAGGGGAAGGATTGGGCCTCCGGTAACCTCACTCACACGACGAAACAAAACGCTGTTTCACGCCGGTTTTATTATTATTACGTAATCTTAGGTATCAAAAACCATTCTAAGCCCATCTGAACCATGCCCTATATACACAAAGGTTCAAGTCTCCAGTTCATACCTGCGCCACAGCAATGGTGCTGAGCCATGCGCGATAATCTCCTATGTAAGCTGTCTCACCTTAGTAAGTTAAGAGCTAGCGACGTAAGGCTATGAATAGTCTTGGTATAGCTTTGAAACAGTAGGTGTTGCATTCAATGGGGAGATTTGTAGGTATAGCATGCATGTGTAAAGGGTATAACACGCTTATAATTCTGAAAGCTTCTGTATCTACTAACCATGCTGTGCTTCGGTATGTTCTCCTGTTTGGATAAGTACTAAAGGTATTTGGATATGTTGTACAACAGAGACTTTCTTTGTGGGGAAAAAAACTATCGAATTATTCCTTGCACTCTAGGTTACACAAGAGGGATGTCAAACACTAACTGACTGAGAACCAGAAACAAACTTCTGCTTCGAGTTTACGTGTCGCATGAATTGGGATTATGTTTGGGCGTACACTTAGTTCTTATGTTAATAGAAATCATACTAAATTTATGAAAAAAACTACTTACTCACTTGAATTCACGAGTCACGCAGCTGACTTAGACTGAAAGTCCCATTGTAACTTGAAATAAGTAGAAATTTTCTCTGACAATTGGGTAGTTTTCTAAGTCAAAAATAAATTTTGTATGAAGAAGTCGTACTACTCGTACAAATCTGTAAAAATACATATATTTATATGTAACTCTAAGTGTGTGAGGTTTGGATTAGTTAGGTTTATTAGGTTTTTCGAGATGTTTATGGAATGTAGCAGTTTCGAAATTTAGATCCTGCCATATGACAATAGAGTTGATTCCATTATAACAGTAACACAAAAAATAGGTAACTTTAAGGCACATACCTAAGTGATGGTGAACAGTAATTTTATTAGAATAAACAATATGATTTTTATTAGAATAAACTCTTCTATAATCTTTATATATAAAAATTTCGTGTCACGTGTTTGTCCGCGATGGACTACTAAACCGATTTTAAATTTGATTTGCATGCCGTGGGAATTTTGATCTAACTTGAAAGATAGGACAGCTCACACCTCAATTTATAGTCACAATATATTTTATCTTAGCCACAGCAACGCGTGGCTGGGTCTGCTAGTAAGTACATTTATATACCTTATAAAATCGCACACTACACTGATTCGATCAGCCTCCACAATAAACAGCACAAGCAAAAGCCTCTTAACTGTTATCAAGAGCAAATAAATCAATTTCAGTGTTTCATTTACTGAAACAAAGTTACATAGAAACTCCTTAGGCAGCAGTAATCAGGAACAATAACGTTCGCAGCTTTGATTATATATAATATAGACATGTATAAAGGTTCCCAGTATATCCTTATCGGTGCTAAGTCAGAGTTTCGCCCCACAAATCACTTCTCCGCACTCTTTATTAGCATGTAGACTGTTGTAGACGCAACAGGATATTTTGAGAGGGATGGAGACGTATCGAGGGGCGATGCGTAGGGTTGTCGGAATAAAATTGAAGGATTTGCAGATTTTAAGATTTCGTCCTGTGTCGTGTGTGTCTGCTTAAAGTTTGTTCTGTTTTTGTTGTTTATTGATGATTTGTTTGTTTTGCAGTTGTTGCCAAACTATCGACCTTGTTTAATATTGATTCACCTGAAATAAATAACATGTGAAGATGTGATAAGATCTATTTAGTTATCTTATACTAATTTGAAACTCTATCAATATACCTTCATCATGTTGAACACATACTTCTCTATTCCACTATACTTCAAGTTACACTTTTAAGTAACACATATTGAAAAATACTCTCAAAATTTGCAAAGAAATAAAATATTATATACTTTAATCGAAGGAATACAACATCAATAGCATTATATCTAAAAGTAGCAGACTTAAATAAAACCCTAAGGCGAGAGAAAATCTGAAGTAATCCGTCGGAATAATCATGGAAATCCTTCGGCAACCCTGTATGCCCCTCTTTTAATGTGTTTACAAGACAGTATCGATTGTTCTATTGTACGTTTTATTTGACTTGGAAATTTTCGTGTTCCTTTTACACGCGTTAGCATTTCTTTATGTTTATTTTTCATCGTTTTTTTTTCTCTTTTTTTATGAACCGACGAGGTTTATTTACAGCCACATCAAAAGATCCATAATTTACGTATTCAGTATGGTAATTTTTATCGTCTTTGGAATCTTTCTAATTGATATTCTAGGGGGTAGGTACATACATATGTTCGGTGCGTTGATGGATGTTTGAAAATTTGAGAATGGTGTTTCTTTATTTATTTGCTTCGAAATGAGACAAAGGAATGACTCAACTGTTTTTCTTTGAAATCGTCATAAGCAATATCAGAACTTAATTCCAAACACAAAAACTGGAAATCGATCAATATGTCCTTAGATATCAATTCTTCGCGTAACAAAAGATCTTGGTATTTGTCTGTACACTGTTTTCAATTTAAACGTTAACGATTGAAAACTATAACGAATTGTATATTTAATCCCGTAATACAATTTAGATAAATAAATTAAATTTCATCATTTTTGTCAGTGTAATGTTATTCCCTGTTTTCTAGGAAACCTCCCAGCTTCCCTATATCTACTGAAACAATATTGTTGTAACATTGAGTTGTTTATTTAAGTTGATTAACAGTCCATGTTTGCTTTGCTAGCAATGTGTTCTAAGAACACATTGAATAATAACAATATTATTACGTAAGATAAGCTTTTTAATATTTTATAATGTTGCGATTCACTTTTCATTGTTTATTCCTTTATTTCTGCGTTTTTACTTGTGTGAATTGTCTGTATCATTAATATGTGATTATTTTTATAAACAAAAAAAGACATTAACCGTTCCTGATAAGTTTGCAAGAATCCTAATTAATTGAGCTATTAATTTTAGACTTATAAGATGCGGGTTTGGCATTAAAATTTTAACATTATCTGGCTTTCTATTTGTATAAAAAAATTAGAAAAACATTTTTTCACATACTCATGATACCCAGACCCGAAATAACAATTTGTGGATCACACAAAGTCGTTGTTCCGTGCGGGAATCGAACCTGCGACACGTTGCCGGCAACCCCAGCCACGGAACCAATCGTTCAGTCAAATTGTATTAATAATCCTCATTAAAGTCTAGAAAACTCATCAGCCTTTGCAGTTTTCTTAGCTATTTCTGAACCGTCAAGGTATTCATATAATCAGTAATCTACAGCCAATAATTTTCCACTCGAACAGAAAACCAATCGATTATCAGTCATCGTTCACCCCACTTAACTTGTGAACTTCTTAATGGTGAAACTCTTATTCCTTGGAGTCCTCGTGTCTTCAATCGGTTGAATAGCTTCGAAAATTACCTGTAGCTAAGAAAGTTTGTTACATTGTTACCTACGTTGTTAGGGCTTGTTAGCTTGAGCGCAAACGAGTACTGAAGTCTAATTGGTCCATGTTGCTCTATGAGAATACAATGGTTAATAGTTATAGGGTGTTGTTTATGACTTGCTTTAGTTCTAGTACCGGGGTAAAAATTTTCTTTCCAGTATCTCCAGACTACAAGTAATTTATCTTTGCGTTAAATTTGATCCAGTTTCGTTCAGTACTTTTTACGTGAAAGTGTAATAAAAATGCATTCTCAAAAAGTAACATATAGAATACTACAGTACTTATAGAATACTAGCTACTCTCACGCGGTTTCACCTGCTGCTCGGCTTCATTTGATCATAGCGTGGTGTTTTATAAGCTACCTATAGCACTCAGGAACATTGTAGCTATCTATCAGTGAAAGAATTTTAGCAATCCGACCAGCAGTTCCAAAGATTACCCTACATACAAACTTACATATTTTACCTCTTTATAATATTAGTATATATATAGATTATTAGGATGTAAAAATGTTATGGGATACTAGGGTAATTTTAATGAAAGGCAATCTACAGAATTTGAGACTCATTTAGCAAATTTTATTTAGTTCGTTGAAATCCAAGAAACTGTCTTATAACAATAAAAATATAATATTAATATAATTAGGTATGTACAAACGCGTTTGCAGAACAGGAAAAAAGCATCGGTCCGAATCGAATTTTCGAGAATGTTCCTCAAAAGCGTCTCCGTAAAATTACTTAGTCAAAAATTGACACTTAGCGGGCAATATCCGTATTTTTTCTAGTTCATCCACGTGTAAATCGTTCAGCTTTAATATTAGGGGACAAAGTAATAAAGGCTGAGTTTCCGAGCTCATTATGTCACCATTATACACCCTCTTTTATTTCCAAGTTTTTTATTACACTCGATATTCAATTTAGTGAGCATAAACGGTGGGAGTGCCTTGTTTTATGTGGAAAGCGTTAAAATTGTCGACAGATTTTTTTGTTGTTCTAGCTAGATGTTGTTGAGACGTGATTTATTTTGTTCTGTAGATATGGTCCTGTAAGTAGGGAATTTGGATTGTGTATGAATTGTTTTTTTTTATATGAAATGTTGTTGATAGATGAGAAACGGTTTCTCGTCTGTCATGATAGATTCAAAACTATAATTTAATTTTTCCGAACATTTTCACAAAGTCGTTATGAAATAAACACATGAATTATTGTTGAAAAATACTCACGAGCTTAAACTTAAAACTTTCATGCGAACATTATATATTTTTTAAATCATATTTCATGACCTGAAAAAATATACTCTTTCGACCCATTTGATGAACTTATAAGTAATTCTTTTTTCCATTTCAACAGGTCTATCAACAGTAGTTACTCACAACGAGACGGCCCGGCTTGCTGGTGATGCGTCTCAGAACTCTAGTGGTGTGTTATTTGCCGCCGGTGGCTGTGCAGCGGCTGCGTTAGCGCTGCTGACCGCTGCAGCAGCTGCAGGCACCCTTTATAAGAGAGGCAGTAAAGCGAGGCACCATGATTCTATACAGTAAGTTGTTTTATCTTTAAAATAATAAAATTGTGAGTAAAGATATTTTGTAGAATATAATTGATGACAATTACGATAGGCGCGGGGGCTGGGCAACTGGCTACCGTTCGATTCCCGCATGGAACAACTGTTTGTGCGATACACGATTGTTGTTCCAGGTCTGGATATGCTGTGTATGTTTGTAAACGCAACAACGTCATAGGAATAGATGTTTTTTTTTTAATAGTACAAGATAATTTAGTGGGTTTACACAGTCGGATTATAATATAACTAGGAACAAATTATGCGTATTGTAAATATATAATAGAAAATGGAACGCCAAATGCCAATGGCATTAGTCTTTGCTTTCCCTCTGAAACATTAAGGTGTAATGTATATTTCTGCTTAAAGTGTTAACAAGAGTATCCTAATAATGTTTCAATATAATTAAGTTATATTAGAAACAGCCTTAAGATCACTACATACTAACTTATTATCTATCCTCATAAACTCACAAATAAATATGGAATAAAAAATATTAATGCTCCCTAGCATTGACTACACGGTTGACACAGTAGCTGAGAGTCAGATTCCCGCATGTAACAATTCTTTGTGTGATCTATAGATTTGTTCTGAACACGCACACTGTTACGTGCATGTGAAATTGTATGTATGTAAACACACCAGCGACACAGGCGAAATCAAAGAGGGGCAAAGTTTTTTTTAGAAAAAAAACATAGCTACAATCTACCTTTCTAAAACTAATTAATAAAACAGTAATAAATCATCAAGAATATAAAGTAATTACTTAGTTAATATTTATACGCATCAACAACATTTTAGCCTCCGATTTGTATTTAGCAAAATATACGGCCACGAAGTTTCTACTCAAATTATCTCACTTCCAAACTTTGCACGAAGTTAATTTGCAAAGTTATGAAATAAAGTTGTTGTAATTTATTTAGCTTAACATAACAACAGTATCAACTTAATATCAAATGAGTTTTTTTTTGACTTTCGAATGTCGCAAGACCTTCAAATTCCTCTAACAGCACCATCATCATCATCAGCTTATCAGCCATAAACCATCCACCGTTGAACAAAACCTTCCCAGATTAACTGGTTCGAAGGCAGCAACCTACACACAGCGGGTTCTATAATAACACAAGATATACCTCAAAACGTTGATGCCTATCACAAAATCTAACAAAAGTAGAAAGAATTCCTGTATTGGAGATTTGCTTTGGCATAAATGACTGGCTTCCACAGACAAGAATGATTCCACAATTACACAGAAAACAATATGATTCACCGTGTGAGTCAGGTTACCGGAGTCTCAATGCTTCCTTTCTAACCAGCCCTGATACCCAAATCGCCTGATGATCAAATCCTTAAGATTCGATATTGTAAGTATCTAAGGGCGGTGCTGCGGCTGGTGCGGTTGGCGTCTTACCACAAAACTCCCTTCTGAATTTTACCTCAAGCCATAAGTGTGGGAGAGCCATGTTTCGGCACGAATGGGTCGGCTTGACCGGAGTGATACCACGGCCTCACAGAAAATCGGCGTGAAACACAACACTGTGGTTACAGTGTTGTGTTTCGCCGTGTGAGTGAGGTTACCGGAGGCCCAATCCATCCTTCCCCTTCCCAATCCCTAAATCTCCAAATCCCTAATCCCTAAAAGGTCGGCAACGCACTCGTAACTCCTCCGTTACGGGTGTCCATGGGCGGCGTTGATTGCTTACCATCAGGTAATCCGTCTGCTCGTTTGCCGACCTATTACATAAAAAAAAAATATGCCTATAGTACCCACTGCTAAGCAAACACCTCTTCCCACACGAAGAAGGCATAAGCGTTATTTAACACGCTTGCTCGAGGTGGATTGGGGATTTCAAACTTATAATCAGTAATTATAAGTCCAGTTTTCCTTACAATATGTTCCTTCACCGTATGTCAGTGGTGTATAAATAATCATAGAAAGGACATATAACTCGGAAAAAGTCACATTGGTACTTGCCAGGTGTCCAAACCTTACTTCATGCATGTGAAGTGGGCGTCATAATCTCCAGGACGACATAGAAATGCTTCCTTAAAAAAGCATTTTCTAACTAGGTTGCGTTTAGTGACAACGTAATTCATTCATGGCTTCTCACCCACAATTTTGACGATAAAATATTAACTTTGTGAAACATGAATACATAACTACATAAACATAATTGTATGCTACATATTCATAATTATGTACATACATGAATATGTATGGTATGGTATAATAAGGCCGAATACGGTTTTCCTCGAAACGAGAGTGGAAATTTTCTTTCTTATTATTACCAGTCATGTTATTCTCGCTTTATGAAAAAGTGAACAATTTAACATTAATATATAATTTATTAGTATTCACTCAACAAATTAATATTTCAGATACTACTAACTGAATTATAGCTTTAGTTGTTTATTACATACGTTTACACCAAAATATTTTCTATTATTTTTAAGTAGTACCTAATTGCATTCCAATACAGTGCCCTACTTTACTATTTATATAGGTTATTTCAATAATCTTCTTTCAATTTAATTTAAAAGAGACTTTAATAAGTGCTATGAAAACCAGCAAGACCAAACAAAACATAAACATTAAAAATAAACCAGAAAAACTCAACAAATATCCAAAACTTTTTAAACAAAATCTCAAGTTACATTGAAGTATAGAATTTCATACGTTGAGATTCATACTTAAAATAGGAAAAAAAAAAAACAATAAAAAGTAGAAAACAGAATTGAAGGCTCGTTTACCTTATACTTTAGCCAAGTGGCTGATGATGCCATACAAAGTACGTAATAATTGCTCTTGAAGAAGGAACGAAAGCCAATCACATTATAGTCAAGAAGGAAATATTTTAAGAAGTTTCAAGAGGCGTGTTCTTCCAAGTAAATTCAATTGACGGCCCGTTGAACAAAGTCGTTTAACTAGAAAAACAAACATTACCTTTGACTTAGAACTTTGAGATTGGCTTTTGATGGAATCTATGGAAATATTAGGGCCCACGGAAAATAGAATTTTATTTTTTGCAAGCTTGCTTTCGGACCCTGGTTTAATAACACTTGGACAACGGACAAAGTCTCTAAACATTTCCATTAAAACCTTAAGCATAAAAATAACATGAAGTTCGGAATCAAATTAACTGGGTATACTCTCCGTCTTGAACATGGGTTTAAAAACTAATACAAGTGGGACATAAATTTAGTCGTTGCAGTGAAAATATAAACCTCTGTTTACTTCTTCGATGACTCAATGGAGTTATAAAATAAAACCCGTCAATATCTCATCTGAAATATTTAACCGAAAAATGAAATTGAAATACTTCGCACAAAAACTCGTAGCAGCGTGCTACGTTCGTAGCTCGGGACAGTGATGTAGTACGATTCAGTGACGCGTAGCACCGACCGAACTGCGTAGCATAACGCTGTGTAGCGTGGCGTAGCACAGATGTATTGATACCTAGGTGGATAATCCTATGGCTGACGTTTGGTATGTGGAATTTCTTTGTAAATTATTGTGATATTTTTTGCAACTGCAATAGTGACCAAGGCGAAAAGAAATAGTAGGACTTTTAAAATCTCAGATGTCTTAATTGCCAGTTTGAAAAGTGTCAAGTACTTTATAAGTTTACTTACGCCCGGTTCCTATAATTGCGAAACGAGCCGTTTTAATTACGAATAGTAGTTTTATATACGACTTGTAAGCTAAAACCATTCCTATAATAAACGTCTCGTCGTGCAACTTACTGACGGTTTGCAACTAACGGATATTGGTAAGCGAATTGTATGGAGATCTATGGTGTCTGTGGTTTTCTTATAAATATTTTAACCATCAGTAGACGGTCAAGATAACTATTCGTAATATCATTTGATCGTAATGCGTATACAACGACGATTCGTTAAATATAGGAACCGGGCATTAGACGCCACTTAACAGAATTTGTAGGAAACATCGTGTAAATCGCCTATACTCATTCAAACCTTCTTCGTATTTTCTTTACTTATTGGCTTATGATGATGTACAATTAATAAGCGGTTGATCCATATTTTTAGATTTTATTACATAGTTTGCAAAGGCGGGACCTAATAAAAGAGCGTTAAAAATTAATGACCTTGACTATGTAGGTCTGTGGCAAAAATATATATAGTGTTGTATTACTGCCTCATAAAAAAGACTTTAAGAAAAACTTAAGAAAACTCTGAGCTCATTATCAAACTATAAAAACTTTTTATACATAAGTTCACCCATTACCTTCCCCTAAAGGTTGTAAAGTATCAATTTTTATGGCTATTTTTGTAGAATTCAAACAAAATATACCCAAAGGTATTTTCATATATTAAAGCTAGATCATTGTAACAAACACAATTTACATACCTGTTTGCGATGTGTTTTTCTTTTTCCATTCTATACTTAATTTCCTTTTATAAGTTAAAGAATTATAGCCAAAAATTTGCTGACAACAATGCTCAAACCATACAATAGCAATACATTATGCATGGCATATAAACTGCCCTTAAATTAAGGAAAAACTAAATTCTTTGAAAATATTTCTTGTATAGGGGGCCGACCCTTAGTACCCTTCGCAGCTTTATAAATTTTTCAATAATATACCAATTTCAACACAATATCAGGTTTAAGTTGACCTTAAACATTGTGCTTGGTGTAATTGACGTGATTTAGCGAATTAGATATTTACAGGTTTCTTATTTCGAATTAACGTTTAGCAAATTCTAGTTTCTCTTTTTTTTTGTTCGTTTTTTTTTTGTAGGGATATGTTAGCAAGCGAGCAAATGGATCACAGATAATTATAAGCTATCGGTGACGCCCATAGATCCCCACAACACTGAAGGATGGAAGCACAAGTGCCTTTTGGGGTTTTTTAGTGATTGGGAATTTACAAATTGGGGATCGGTTAAGTTGATTGGATAAAATAAAACACAACGCAGACATTGTTTTACGCCAGTTTTCTAAAGTTTCAAGA